TACGCCAGACCACGTCTCGCGTAACAGGCTTCGCGATATCTCACGAAACACTGTTACGCTGCGACGCGCCTGGCGCACATATAGCTAGGCCTGCGGCGCTGATACCCGAGACGAGTTAAGGAGAGGGTATAGGGGAACAAGGTCTTCCGGGCCCAAAATTTGACATACTCGAACCATTTGTCGAGGTTTTCTCACTTTAAAATTAGGGACAAGAAACTTCTGCTGTTCGGTAACGGTTTTCATTAAAAAATCCAATTTTGTCAGATTGTTATGTAAAAATCAACGTTTTAGTGATAGTAGATAATCTAGGGACCCTTAATCCCTAAAGAGGGTGTGGTTCGACCCGTAACGTGTGGTCTAAGTATTACCATTCTGTGACATGAAGCCTTTTTTACGATTTAATAGACCATTTTGTCTTTTTCACGTTGTTTTCGCCAAGAAATGCGCCATAGCGTCGAAACGGTAAAAGATAGAGCAAAACGGACGAAATTTTCGCCCACAGGGCTCTACTTTCACGAGTTACCTGTTAGAAGACCACAAAAAAAATTTTGAAATAAATAATATTTTGTTACCTGTGGTTATTGATTTTTTAAAAAGTCAATTTTTGAGCCAGAGTGCTCATCTTCGAACTCGATCCGTCTTTTTATGATACAAAACGACCCTGAAAATCCCAGATCGCTATTTCAATTCTCTCTCGAGTTATCGTGCGTACAGACGGACAAACAGACAAACAGAATGAAACTTTTCCGGTCAGTGGAGTTATGGGCTTCGCTAATCGCTCAGCCAAAAATCCAATTTTTGAGCTAGAATGCTCTTCTTCGAACTCGATCTGTCTTTTTATGATACAAAACGACCCTGAAAATCCCAGGTCGCTAGCTCAATTCGTTCTCGAGTTATCGTGATGACAGACAGACACACAGACAGACAGACGCGAAACTTTTTGATCACTGGAGTAATAGGCTTCGCTAATCGCTCAGCCAAAAAATCAAACAATTTGACGATTCTTTCACGGGGACATTTATGTGAAACATAAGCCAGTTTGAGCCATACAAATTAATCATAAACCGAGTCATTGATGCTCATCCATGCTGTCAGCCTGGCACTGCACCGTTTGGTGTGGCCACACAGCTGCCGCACAGGGGTGTAGGTATGCTCGACCTGGACCTGGTAGCCTTGGGGTCGATGCGGCACCGCGGAGGCTGGGTACCGCATCTGCTCTTATGCTTGGGCCAAACCCTTCCGCTCTCGCCCCTAGGGGCACCACAGGCGCCCCCCGCTCGAGCCTGACCTTAACCCGCTGAGAGCGCCGCAGGAAGCAAAATCAATAATAAGCCAGCTGCCGTCAGACTCTTCCTTGAAGACCAACATGGAAAGGCTGGTAGAGTATGAGAGAGGGTGTTTTGCAAAAGTCAGAATGCTGCCCCTCCAACAAGTTCCGGAGGTGGCGGTAAGCGACGGGAGTCAAGTTGGCCAAGTCGACTTGGCCAAGTAGGGTTCAGCTTTGAGGAGCCGACTATGCACTTACCAAAATCCAAAAAAAATCCAAAAAAAATCCAAAAAAGCCCAAAAAAACACCCTGCTTAACCC